ATTATATGATAGTTAAGCCTTAGGTCTTAGCTACATAATCGTGAAAAAAGCAGGCATTTATCACAATTATTAACGAAGTTATGGTAAAAATAAACACAGAACTCAAAAATTCTCGAAAAATCCGAAAAAAAATCATAACTCCTAAACTAAACAAAATCGGACCATATATATGGGGGTGATTTGGGTTCCTCTCGATGTGGGGAATCTAATTTTTTTTTATGACGTCACGTGTTTGGCCACCCTGTATATCTGACCTTCCACAGACCAGCTGAAGGGTAAAACGAATATCCAGAAAAACTCTTAAAACTTGAAAACGAAGCTTTACCCAAGGAATCACTATTTGAAACTTGGATATTTCGGCAACATATAATTTGAAACTGTTAAACATTCAAGCCTACCATTTCCATAACAAACCCTCAATCAATCGTAACCGCGTTTGTGCAAATAATTATACATCGTAAAGACGTTCAATATTATTGTGCAATATTTTGGTTTGAGCAAAATAATTGACTGTATGTGGGCAATATCGAAAGGTTGTGCAATATGTTTGCAAACGGGAATATATTGTGCCGTCTGTTGGCAACACTGCGCAATATTTCATCAGTTGGTCTCAATTTATTCGAACAAGGAGTTCATTAATTAATTCTTCGTCCCTTCGTCAAAAGTTGCGGAAATCATTTGGTTCAACTCTTCATTGAGTAATTTTTCGTGGGTGTACTTTTTCCTATCAATAATCCTGAGCCCTTTTTCTTTTCTTCTTTTGCACTTGCGGCCAGAGCAATTACCACGCAATACAAGTCACTTTCACGCAATAATATGTTGAGTGCATGAAATTCTGACGAGGGCTGTTTGCTTGTACGTCTGTGCTCACGATTGCGCCATATATTTATTATAAAACCTTCAATATCGCCTGCATGCGGTACAATCTTTCTTACAAACCAAAATATCGCTACAATAATATTGACCGTATATGGGCCACCGTCAAAATATTGTGCAAGTCACATTGCACAATAATATTGAACGTTTACAGGCCGCTTAATGAAACATTTTTCCAGCAGTTCCAACCTCAACGAGATATCGAAAAATATTGAACGAATTGCATTCCAGGAGAGATATACAAGAACGGTGACTACAACTATAGTATTATTGCCATTATTGAGTCAACACTTCATCGTGATGGATAGCCGGCTATTCCATAGTTGAGACATGTTTCTCGTACTATACGTAGGTCTCAAACCATAGCTCAAAGCTGCGTTACACCTGAACAGCCGATAAATAATTTTTTCGGCGTCGCTGATCTAAGATTCTTTTTCCCTCGTATACCTCAGAAGCTTTTGTCATCGTGAAAAATAAGCGAGATACCATCGTCGCTGGTACGGTGAAACCGATATCTCTTAGTAACGTCACTCAAATCTTTTCTGCATCATCATTTTTTATACACCGACAAAGATATCGCTAGAAGCCCATCTTGGATGCTCCTGCTGTTTTTTCTTTCTTTTGTTTTTCCTATCTCTTTTACCGACCTCGCACAATTAAGTTGATGTAAGAGCCCTGCTCATAGATACTCTGTTCTCATACGTGTTGTTATAGCCTGAAAACAAAGGATTAAGTGCTTTTATAGGATTTGGCAAAATCAGCTCGGTATCTGAAGGTTAGGTACTGTAGTTTCCATATCGAAATGTCAGTGTGCCACAGTGGTCTAGAATACCGAAAAGCTGGATAAGTAAGATTTTTAATTACAGTATTCAACACAACAGGGTTTTTTGGGCCGCTGGGGGCATTTCAAGGTCATACCAAGGAAATTTTCAAAACAAGTCCGAATTCGAGGTCAAATAGCCACTATACTATTATTTGAAGGTTATTTCAAGGTAGCTTGAAGGACTGATGATAATAAGTATAGCACCCGAGTCTAGATGCATCCGTGGTCGTTAAGTTTCTAGGAGAGTATTTACCTAAATTGTGTTTTAAAGCCACTTAAAGGATAAATTCAAAAACGTTGAATAACTTGTTTAGGAGCTCCTGCCATAATATGCCAATATATAAGGTTATATTTCTCAATAGCTTGCAAAAGTTAGAAAAAACTGACACTTTATCTGGTGAATCCTTATTAAACATCTCTCTGAATTCACGGTGTACATGAAAACAACAATAATGACATATCTATTACATCAAATAAATGTTTATACTCTCCCTTATTATTGAAAAGTAATGTCTAATGATACAACACAAAGTTCAAGTTTAAGAGTCTGTCATGGTAAAGGTAGTGTGATCAAAGTCCTGATTCCGTAGCAAACTTATTGTTTAATCTTGGAATTTGGAAGTTCCCAAAACATATTTAGTTTGATTTTAAACGTATTCTTTTGTAAAATGTTGATGATACCAAGTTGATAACCCTAAACATCTTGAGCTATGAGGCACCTAAACTGCTAAAAATAAGATATTTGGATACCATATTTTCTACTCAATCATAGAAGGATGGTTTATCAGCGATTTACGTATACTATTTCGTCATTTTGCAGCCCTTCTGATGAGAAATTCTGAAATGTGTATGTCTCATCACATTGCAGACAATATTACCAAGATATAGCTGATATAGCCGAGATATGTGGTGGGCCATATGCTGCAATCGCTGGGCTATAGATATTAAGCAAGTATTGCTCGTTTAAGTGCTCCAATAAAAAAATAGTATTTTCCAGATATCTGTATACTACCTTGTATAATGAAAAAAATAGTACATCGTGATGTGCCTACTAAGATGAGGATATTTTCTTTAATCGAGTCGCTGAAATTCCAGAATATAACCAAATGAAGGCCGTGCAAGGTGTGGCTGTTTTATACAAGTGAATGAAGATAAAATGTAAGAAAGACTTTAATTGTCTCCCATTTGTCCTGTGCGGTTGGACTCTTGTTTACATTTATTTTCACGTGGTTTAATGTTACCTTATCATCGATCAGGTATTCGTTCAAGGTTGAGATTTATCTCAATTTCTGTGTATTTTACGTAAAGGCGAGAAGATGCGGCTTTTGAAGGTACCAATCCAACGGATACAGTCATTGCAAGCAACAACAGTACTTGGAAGCTTTTCTTTTAGAATGACTAATTGGAAAAGAGCATGGTAGGTAATTTTACTTTTCTAGACTGTTTCTTACAGCTTTTGGTGACAACGTAACGTTCCTGGCGCGTTTTATCAAACAAAGGACTTGTCTTTAGAGATGAGACTGTTGGACAACGGCGAGACTTCAGCATTTTTTCTTCTGTTATTTCAGAGGAGATTGACTCTCGAAGTGACGAAATGAAGTAGGCCCACGCTTACTAGTTCTTCTACTTTCTTATTTTTAGAATTGACCACCAGATACACTACTGAGTATATAATATGGTGAAATTAACTTCGCAGCTTGAACGGAAGTAATGGTCCAGTGCAATTAATCCTGTAGGGGTGGCTGGTCGGGGTTTGGGTGGTTTAAATTTACACACATCTTCCACGATGAAGAAACTCAAATGGCCGTGAGGGGGGTTTAAATTCCCCCATTTTTGTAAGAAAATGATTCTTTTTGTTTTATATTAGTTTATTATATCGAATAATCTGATGCTTGTTTTCGCTTTGTTGAATATCAAAGCTCCCTACCCTTACCATAAATCGAGGTTTACTGAGCTTGAAGTGAGTCGTCCCAGGTAGTTATTAAAAATGATGAAGTATGTGTCTGTAACCGGAACGACAGCACCCTCTATCGTACAGAATGTGAACTATTTTTATAATTGTTGGCATAACTTGCGCTAATTAGCACTAGATATTTTGATGCCAAATAGCTATTACAGACGTGCATCAATTTTTTTGTAATGAATGATATTCAGTTCTGCTACTGCCTCATAGATGGCGATTCAGAACTTTGCTATCACATACCCCACAAAATTTAACTAGGCTAAGAGAATCTTGGAGGGGCGGCTGGTCGGGGTTTGGGTGGTTCAAATTTCTACACGCCTTAAAAGATCAAGAAACTTAAATGGCCGTGAGGGGGATTAAAATCCCCCCATTTTTGTAAGAAAATGATTTTGTTTATTATACCGAATAATCTGATGATTGTTTTCGCTTTGTTGAATATGAAAGCTCCCTACCCCTACCATAAATCGAGGTTTACTGAGATTGAAGTGAGTCGTCCCAGGTAGTCATTATAAATTATGAAGCATGTGTCAGTAACCGCTACTACAGCACACCCTCTGTCGGGCAGAAGATGAACTATTTTTATATTTTGAGCTAATTAGCACTAGATATTTTGATGCCAAGTAGCATATATTACAGACGTACATCATTTGTTTCTGAAAATCAAAGGTATTCAGTTCTGCTACTGTCTCATAGACGACGCGAGGGGGTTAGAATCCCCCCATTTTTGCAAGAAAATGATTCCTTTTCGTTCATTATATGTTGCAGTAACCCAGCGACGCAGCACCCTCTATCGGACGGTAGACATATTGTTTTTATATTGTTTTAACGATTTCCAAAGGCCAATTCGCCCAAGAAGTTCATTAGAGCTAGGGTATGAGAAATAAGAAACGCCACGAATTACAGGCCGCAAGATACATAAGATATCTTTCAGGTGCAAGCAAAGTACTGAAATCTGGGGCCTAGTTCTGAGCTTCGGCCGTTGGAATTAATTTGGCGCCTGGCTATCATTTATCCGCTGAGCTAGTTTTGAAACAGTCATGACTATTTTAAAATTTACAACGCAAATTTTGAAAAATCGCTAGAATCATGTGACAAAATTATAATAGCGGATCACATGCATGACGGAAAGGAGACATCAAAATCAATTTCAACGGTCGAAATTCAATCGGGCAACTTGTTTCGGCCTCAGCTATTCCTAAACTTCAATCGGCGCTTTACATATATATTCAAAGCACTCGGTTAACTGTGGAATATTTTGCGTTTTTTACAATAAAAAATTGTCTTATATATCTCTGTCCTGTCCGTGCTGCTTAGAAATATAATATGAGAAAATATATTGACTGGCAACAGTGTATATGTTAATATAACAGCATATAAAAAAATATTTTGCACCTTGATCTTACAAACTATGATATCACAGTCCTTCACAATAGCGAAAATTAGCAGTACCACACCCGCACTGGATTTGCCGACGACGGCAAGCAGGAACATTCAGATAGCCCTGCAAAAAAAAAATATAATTATTAATTATATATTTTCAATTATGAGTTATCATGAATGGAAAATAAATTTCAAACGTTTCTTCAGAGCATACAGAGTGTATGGAATATAAGCTGCTTAGTGATCTTACTTAGAATTGATTCGACATCTTTCATTCTTTTTTTAAGTTTCAAAAAGATACTAAAACTAATATAATAATAATAAAACGTCGGCGAAGTTTAGTATAAGGTACTCTACCACTTAACCCGTAAAATGTCCATCCAAAAAAATATATACCAACCACTAAAATGCAGTTTCAACATAAAAAAAATAAATTAATATACATATTGATGCATATATTATAGGCAGAATTAAGAGATCAATTAATGTAAATGATTACTCGAAAATTTTTTTTCTTAAATAATTTTTGAAATTCTTGAAATTTAAAGCTTTAGTATCAGAGCGTAAAGCATTGTGCATGATAGTAGCATTATAAGTAAAACATTTAGTAAAAAATATACGAACATATTTTGATGAGAATGATAACCCAACTTAATCTGATCTCAAACTGCTAGCCTTTGTGTGTTTATGTTCTAACAGTTTAGTACCTTAAAAACTGAAGACAATGGAATAAGGGATTGAATCCTCTAAGCTTTAAATTCTTGACCTAGTACCATTCACTATTCGACAAATTTTCTTCGAAACAAAATGATAAATAATTAAATACGGGATCTACGATCCTCGAGATTTTCGATTTTCGAAATGACGGCAAATGAAGGATACGATCAAAAAAATTTACTGTTTTTCCTCATAAAATATACTGAGTGACAAAAAACGTAAATAGCTACGTATGTTTATCCGATTTTAATAATTTTTGGCACATGTGTTCGCTGTCCCTTACTAGTAAAATGAGTAAATTTTCAGTTTGATTCATCGACTGACTGCAGGAGCTGATTCAATAATGTGTTGAGGATCCACGATTTCTTATATACTCAGTGACACGCCTGGGCATCGTGCTGACAAGGTGGTCGATATCCTGTTGGGGTATCTCATTCCAGGCTACCGTAACTTTGTGAGTAATAGCTGCCAAAGTCTATGAAGGGTTTCAGAAGCCTGCGACCTATCATGTCCCAGACATGTTCAATTGGAGATAGATCAGGCGATCGTGGTGGTCAAGGTAAACGTTTAATGCGATGTTGATCCATTGAGGCTAACGATGTTCTGGCAACATGGGGTCTGGCATTGTCTTGCTGAAAATTCGGGTTTTGGATAGTGTTTAGGTATGGAATAAGATGAGGCTCCACTACTTCCTGAGTATAGCGTCGGGCTCTCACATTGCCTCTGATGAAAATTAGTAGTGATCTGCTACCATAAGCAATAGCACCTCATACCATAACTCCCACGGTGTGGTGAACGTGACGCTCTCTGTCAACTTGTGGGTCACGTTACTTTTGCCCGACCATCGTGCATCCCCAAACAGAAGCGGGATTCGTCACTGAAGACCACCTTTTGAGCAATCACAAAAAGGCTTCTCAATAAGCTAGGGTCAAATGGTGCAAAAACGAGACGCTTTTAACCACTATTTAGGCTAAAAATGAGACAGTCAAAAACAAAACACTGTATTTCCTGGCCTTTTAGTCATTTTACATCAGTGTGGAAAAATCTGAGACCCTGGGGAATAAAAACGAGACACACTGCAAGGGTTTTAAAGCGTTTAGTAAGTCTAATTCAATTGTGACAACGTTCTTAAAGAAAACTCTCATAATTAAATACAAAACTATGTTTATTAAACTAAAAAGAAAACAAATCCAAAAACAAGTTAAATAAATCATACCTAATTCAATAACGGGGTTAAACCAGATTTTCAATAGGATTTTAAGAGCTAAAGTAGAAAACTTATTATTCTAACGTATTTTGTACTACATATTATTGAACGACGTATTTTTCAAAGTCGATAGTAAACCAATATTGCTGAGAGATACGACAGCTCTTACTTTCTACGTATATTTCTGGCTCGGGAAGTTTCATTTCTATGTCACTTTTGTTGATGAAGTACTTTTCCTCAATGGCCGGAAAAATAAATTTAAATCCTTTGCGCCTCAGATATTTTACTTCTACGTCGCTCTCAAATACTTTAAGGATTTGTGTCACGTAGTAAACTTGCGTTTTTTGACTTAGTCTATTGCGCTTACAAAAATTTTTAAACCAATCTTTCCCGGGCCTTCCTTCCTTAATTGCTTGTATCTCTGGTTTAGTGAGAGCAGACCCCCATTTTGCCATAATTTTTATCTTATCACTTAAGTCTACTTCCATTTCTTTGGTTAGAGAAGTTTTTCTTCCCTGTTTAACAAGTGAACGCGTACGTCTTCTCGAAAGAGCAGATTTGTCAATTTTAAACTGTTTAGCTGCATTTCTAAGAGATAAAGTGCCATTATCTATTAGTTTTAGGGCTGTTTCCATGTTCTTTTTGTCGTAGGGGCGCTTTTTGGGAACGTAAACCTTCGGCATTATTATCAAAGGTAAAAAAGCTGTCTTGTTTTTTACCTGGCAGGTGTCTTGTTTTTAAGCTTTGTGGTGTCTCGTTTTTGCACCTGTTATTCACGACGTGCCTGCTTGCAAACAAATCAAAGTAGACTAAATTCGATATGGAATATCATAGCCGCATTTGTTATTTTGAAAACGCGATACTTGCCGAGTCTCTACGATCACGTACAGCGGCGCAACAGGAAAAGTTTGTAAATACAATTTAAAAGATTTTTTAAGCAAAATGCACAATCAGATGCGATAGTTTTTTCTCGATGTTTGTGTTTACGTTTATTTATTATTCATTACATATTTCAATTGTATATATGTGGAAGTAATTTGTAACGTATTTTTTACAATGTTATTGTTTTTTGCATTGCGAAAAGTTGAATGTCTTGTTTTTGACCGAAATTTCGGCTGTCTCATTTTTGCACCACTTGACCCTACACGAAATTTAACATTTAATTGACACCGTAAATGTACGAAAACAATGCTTCTTTATCACCAAACAATAACGCAGCCACCACAAAAACTTATCAGAAAACCCTTACCATTTTATCACTTGTTCATGGCGAGATAAATCGATATGTAAAAAATTCTTGGATGCTAATAAACATACGTAGGTGTTCACCTTTTTTTGTCACTCAGTATATTTGCATATTTCTTGCCGTACTAGTGCACAAATGTTCTCATGAACTCCAATTTGAATTTGAATCTTCAATATTCTTACACAGGAAGTATCAAATGGCAATTTTTTATCCATCTTCCACCTTTCAGTAGATGTCGCGAGTCTTGTCAAGGCTAGTTTGTCGTTAAAACTCCAAGAATCCAGAAGGCGGTGGACAATCGAGTTCCGCAACAAATGAAGGCCAGTCCACGCTTTTGTTTTTCAATCTTGCGTAAACAGCTCGTCAGTTGTTTACATTGGGCCAGGCCCGACGGTTATTATTGCAGATAAAAATCGGTCGAGTCGCTCAAGAGCTGCTGCTGGTTCATTCCTTTCGATATTGGAATGCGATATGCCATGCTATTTTTAGTCATTTCAGTAGCGACGTGTCTGAAACGTCGACGTATAAGGGCCTTTTTATTCCTTTACCTTGAATTGTACTGCTGAATGTGAGATGCATCTCAGTCTAGAGTGTATAGGAGATTTTAAGATACCTGAATCAAGGTCCTTTTAGTACGTGGGAATTCACCTGGTCTCATTACCAATTCAAGAGACAATTTCTCCTTATATTTCGGAAAGCTTAGACTGCCAGGGCACTGAACCATTTGCTGTAGAGGGTGGTCCCAGAAGTACCCGGTCTGACCTAGAGATGGCAATAGTTGTTTGAAAAATATCATCGTATTAGAAAGTATGCAAACTATAAAGCATTTGTGCCAATTTTGAAGACGGCACGTTGTTTAGTATTTGTTTGGCAGCCATCAATACTGAACGTTTTCAGTGAAATTGTGAAAATGGAGAAAATTGGTCAACTTTTATTTCAATGCCTCAGCCCAACCAATATAAAAGCTGAACTGGATTGTACTCTGGGTGAGTCTGCTCCTTCGTTTACAACAGTAAAATATTGGGTAGCAGAGTTTAAACGAGACCGTATGAGCTGCCAAGACGAGCATCGATGTGGTCGACCAAATGAGGTGACGACTCCAGAAATGGTGAAGAAAATTCACAAAGCGGTACTGAACGATCGTCGACTGAAAGTGCGCGAGCTAGCAGACATAGTAGGCATTCCAAAAAGTACGCTTCATCGCATATTACCTGAAAATTTGGACATGACAAAGCTGTGTGCAAGATGGGTGCCGCGATTGCTCACAATCGAGCAAAAACAGTGTCGTGAAGATGTTTCAATTGAGTGTTTAGCGAAGTATCACAGCAATAAAGCAGAATTTTTGCGTCGTTTCATAACCATGGATGAAATATGGGTCCATCACTTCACACCCGAAACAAAAGAAGAATCAAAACACTTGATTCAAAAGGGACAACCGGCTCCAAAGAAGGCGAAGACCGTTTCATCTGCAGGCAAGGTTATAATTTTCATTGACTATCTTGAAAAAGGTAAAACTATCAACGGCGAACTTATTGCAACGTTTGAGCAATGAAATCAAGCAAAAACGGCCGCAATTGATTAAGAAGAAAGTGTTGTTTCATCAAGACAATGCACCAGCTCACAAATCCGTTATTGCAATGGCCAAAATTAAAGAATTAAAGTTTTAATTGCTACCTCATGCACCCTATTCACCAGATTTAGCCCTCTCGGATTATTTTCTGTCTCCAAACTTAAAAAAAATGGCTCAGTGGTCAAAGATTTTCCAACGATGAAAAAGTTATGTCGGCAGTTACTGGCTATTTTGAGGAGCAAGACAGTTCTTATTATAAAACGGGTATCTAACTTATTGAACATCGCTGGGAAAAGTGTATAGAGCTCAAAAGAGATTATGTTGAAAAATAAATACATTTTTTTACAAAATTGTTGTGTTTTCTTCGTAGGGTCGGGTACTTCTGGGACCACCCTCGCAAATGGGTTTGGTGAATGGCTGGGCTTTGTAGAAGTTCAGATCACCATGGACATAACAGGCTAAGAGCCGACTGCAAATTTTTGGTTACATCTCGTACTTGGATACTCAGACAAAAACTAGTCAAATAATAATATGATTTGTATCAGTACGCGATGTTACAAGAAGTTTGCCAACGCACACGTTTGGTTAATTGCAGCCACTAACTGCTGACAAGAAGCTGGGATATCTGTTTAGCAACAACTTCTATAGATCTATGGGTCGCTTTACAAGAGGTAAACGCATCAGAATTGTCAAACTTACTAGGAAATTTTACTATGTTTTTCATGAATATTATGAACTTTTTATCAAAGATTCAGAGGTTACATTATTGGCTATTCTTAACTAATATAACATTTTTCAGTTATATACAGGGTGGTTCACTAGTCGTGACCAAAAATTAAACATCATACACATGACCACATTATAAGGGGAGTTTCTTATGTAACATTTTTTCCTCGAGGGAATCATTAAAAAGGTGCTGAGGTTTAAAAACAAAAAACATTTTTTTAATACCTTCAAAACCGTCAACTGGAATGAACTAAAATTTGGTATGTGGACTTACTAAGTATTGTCCACATTCAAAAGCCTTGAGTGAAAATTAATACGCACCAATGGCGGAGATAGAGGGGATTAGTGGTATTATTTTTCCAAATAAAAATAGTTTTTTGTGAAACGCGCATTTTTTAAATTTTTCCTTCAATTTGCTACAGGTACTTACTGTTGTTATATTTCTAGATTGCATTGTTTTCGAAAAATAAAAATAAATCAACCTAGATCATTCATGAAGAGGCGGGATACAATTAGTTTCAAAATACAAAGGTTTATACTCGTTCATTTCTAAGACTTCGGCACTATGGAAAACATAAATGATCAAAGTTTTATTTCAATAAATGTTCAAAAAGACCACCATTCTGACGGATACAAGTGCTGCATCTTTTTAATGGTGAAACGCATTATCTATTCTTTCTTGTAACTGATCAACAGTATTAATTAGTTCGGCATACACTAGTTGTTTGAAATCGCTCCACAAAAAGAAATCCAGGGGGTTCAAATCAGGAGACATCGCAGGCCATTGTACGGGTCAGCTTCTGCCAATCCATCGTTGTCTAAAATGATTATTTAACCATGCGGTTATGCCACGACGAACATGCGGTTGGGCGCCGTCGTGGAGGAACAGCATCTAACACATTTTCTATGTAATTCTCTAGAAAAGCTAAGTATAGTTTGCATTTGAACGTTGTGGCAAAATTTCTATTTTGAATTCTCTTCATCACTTTTTACATTCGTACATGTTTGCCATTTAAAAGTTCGCAATGTTGGCATTTTCGAATATTCAGCTGCTACATCTTTATATGAGCGCATGGTCGCAATACCTCCTATCTCAGGTTTAAAATAAACCACACTGACACATAAAATGTATCATATACGTGTATAAAACATATAATCCTTTCATTCAAAAATAACAATTTACATGCAATTTCCTTAGAGAGGTTCTATTGTAAAACAGTGCATGGTCAACAAGCTTTTTCAATCAACCGCCAATAATAGATGAAATGTCAACAATTTAAATAATGCATTCATTGAGTAAACAAGGGGTCAATTAGTTAAAATTGCTTTTGCATGCGACCTGCGATCTGAATTCATGATACACTACGTTACCACGAACAAAGTAAATATTTGGTGGCCGCGCGTTTACAAATATGGTGGGAGTGCTTTACCCATTCAATATACTTATTAATTTAGTTTTTTACTCATGTTCACCTGTGTATGAATTTTTCACACTGTTATACATAATTAATGTTTGTATTATACGTTGACATTCATATTTACACAGTTTTCATATCAATATGTAACCAAATCAATGTTGGAGCAGAATATGTTCGTATAACAACTAGGCTGATGAAGAGTTTTCCAGTAAGTACGGGCCAATGTTGAAATGTAGGGTGGGACCGGAGGTCAATTTTTTTGGACGAAACCGATGCCGGTGTTCGGTATCTACCACAACCTTCGGCCGAAACTAAACAGAATGTTTGGTTAACCAAAGATGTGTTACTTATAAGTAAAAAGTAGTAAAATAAGGCCTTCGGTCCTATTTATAAGTACTCACCCTGTTTCAATGCAATTTCGAAACGATATCCGTTAAAACTAGGCACAACGTGATAGCTGACGATGACTGAACTTCTGTTTCATTCTCATAAAAATAATGAAAACTCTTGATAATTAATGTAGTTCGAAAAATAATAACAGATTAACCTGAAGCAACGTTTTATATTGTTGATAATAGAAAAAGGCAGTCTCGGGACCCGTCCACACAGCTGTTCGCCTCATAACGTCCTTACTCTGTACAAAGCCCATATAAGGCCCAGTCTCTAGTAATGGAC